GACTTAGCCACTTAGCGCATGAGGAATGTCTTTAAATGCTCTTGAAGGCTCCACTGCTGGATCTCCCCCCAGCCTCTCCCCTTGGAGCACCCACTTATATTTTGTGTAGTGGTCCCTCCTTTCATGGCTTTTTCCTCCCACTTGCTCCTGGCCGCCCAGCTTCTTGGGTTGGTTTCAATGTCACAGAGACTCCTGATTCGTTAGGATTGCCTTCTCCTCCCTATTTCCGTTACCTCTTTTGATTTGAAACTTCCACCTTCGTTGCTTCTGCAGCAGGCTCTTCACCAAAGATGGACTTGAAGTGAGCACAGGTTCTTTTTTATTGAAAAGAATAAAGTTTTATTTTTTTTAATGCAAAAAGGATAAAGAAGATAAAGTTCACCTATCATCTTACCACCCAGAAATGTCTGCTGCATAGAATTTGTAGGTTTTTCATCTTTATAGTGAATGTGTGAGTGTAGTGTCTGTATGAGTAATCGTTCACATTTTCTGCATATGTAATACCGACCCTACATTTTGCATTAAATTATTACAAATCCTATAGGCATTTTCTCTTGCCATTGAAATTCCTTGTAAACATTATTTTTAATGGTTTGTGTATTTATTTGCAGGAATCGTAGTTCACGTAATTTTTTATTTTAAGTAAAATAAAAATTTCAAAAACATTTTTTGCCTTAAATACATTTAGCATTTAATGTTATAAATCTTATAGGCATTTTATCTTGCCATTAAGATTCTTTATACACATCACATTAATGGTTTGTGTATTTATTTGCATGAACCACTATTCACTTAATTTTTTGTTGTTATTATAAATAAAGCTGCAATTAATATATTTGTGAATATATGTTCTTGGTTGAGTCCGGACTCTGCCTGGCTATTTGGCATCCCAACTGAGCATTATCTGCTGCCCTCTCTCTGGGACTATTTTCCCCAGACCTGTAGTACCCTCCAGGCTCCCGGTTTCTCTTTTTCATGGGGAAGGGAAGGCTGTTTTGAAAGTGAACTAGTGTTTCATGTGTTAAAACTGGATCAGGTTAAAGGGTTAGGGAATAGATGAGCTTTTACTGTGTCATATTATGTGCTTGGAGCTTTATATGTGCTCTTTCATTTAATTCTCAAGCGTGTGTGAGGTACTTTCACGTTCTCATTTTATAGGTGAGGAAACTGAGGCTCAGAGAGGCTGTGTAACTTGTTCAGAGTCGCATAGCTAGTAAAGGACAGAGCCAGGACTTGAATTCAGGCATGCCTAACTCTCATCCACTCCACAGATGTTGTCGTACTTAATTTGGATTGTAAAATCGTTTGGTAGACGCCAAAGCAGTGCTGTGCTGGTAAAATGGCTCTTTGGAATACAAAACAAAACAAAAAACTTGATTTCAAACTGCCAATGATGTTACAACGCACTTATAAAATTCCTGGATATGTAACAATCAGTGCAACTGGATATACGCGGCTCTTTCATGCCACCAGGCAAAAGGTTGAATTACTTACCTAGAGACGTGTTTTCTGCACTCTGAGTTCTGATTGGTTAATTAAGTAACAACGATTTCTAAGTGAGGCAATTGTATACATTGACAAAGTCCTTCTTTTAAGTTCTCTAATGTTTAGAAACACATTTCCCATTATTGAGATTTTTTTTCACACATGAGTGGCTCTCTGTTTGTGACTGACTGGGATTCCAGTCTTTCTCAGAGCATAGGAATTAAGATCCAAAGACAGGCTACTAATGATAAATTGTTAGGATGTGGTCAAAGATAAAAAGTTAATTCACCATATCTGTGCTTTGCAGATCAGACTACTATCAAAATGTGTAATTAGAGACCGCTACAAACATGGTTTTAATCAGTGGTGGGACTAGGTGGGTAGGGAAATTATGCAGGACTTTCCGGCGTCACAGGGGGAAAGCCACTTAAGGAAATCCGAATGATTTAACAGTCATGGGGTAAACTGTTTCCATACCCAACAATGGTTTCAGGAAACCAGCGGAGGCCATTATCTTTTTTTTCAAAGCCCTGAACATTTCCACCAGCCTTCACACCTGAACACTTCCACCAGCAGTGGCTCTGTGATGCCTGAGTCACCCCGAAATCATTAGCAGCCTACTCAACACTGGCTGCGGTACTGGTCTAATTAATCTTTACAGTATATGGGTGACTGGGACAGGGGACCTGGGGGTGATGTATACTTTCGTGCAGTGCCCTTTGGTGGCAGGCAGAACAGAGGCTGAGCTGCTCTCTTTGGAGATTCCTTAGTCTTAGCTGGAGGATTTGGCAGGCCTGGCTGATGTGTAGGGATCTCCATCCTTGTACTAGGGTGGGAGGTATTCCCACTCTGTTGGTAGTTGAGGAAGAATGATGGTCCTCTCATCACTGTCACTCTCATTGTGAGTAGCCTCTTTATTGAAAGAGGAGTTCAGTGAGCTCTAGTTGGACTTTTATTTCAAGGGTTTTCCCCCAATACATGCTGACATAGACAGTGGGGGTGGCACAGTCTTTGGATGCAAGCATGATCTTATTGTTTCCACTAGGGCAGTGATTTTCAACCGGTGTACCATAGGAATTTTTAAGACATGCGATACCTGACTATGTAGTCAGGGGCACTGACCTCTTTTCCCTTAGATTGTCAAATAAAAAATGACAACAGCCAACACAACAATAGCCATCCAGTGTGAACCAAAATTATACCTATTTTTTGCCAGATTGGCAAAAGATAGACTTTTTTGGTGTGCTGCAGAATTTCTTTTTAATTGATTTAAGAGAAGAAGAAGAAGAAGAAGAAGAGAGAGAGAGAGAGAGAGAGAGAGAGAGAGAGAAAGAAATATCGATCAGTTGCCTCCCGAACAAGCCCTAACCAGGGAATGAACCCACAACCTGGGCATGTGCAACCTTTCGGTGCAGGGAACGACACTCCAAAACCAACCGAGCCACGCTGGCCAGGGCAGTGTGCCACAGAATTTTAGTAATTAGTTTATGTCACGAGATGGAAAAGGTTGAAAATCACTGCACTAGGGAGTAGTGTGGGTGAAGGACTGAACTTTGTCCCATCTTACCTTCCCTACCTGGATCTGCACCTGCATTTAAAACAATACCACTACCTTACTGGTATCACCTACACTCTCATAAACACCCTGTAATTTGTCTGGCTCCCTCTAAGTTGGCCCAGAGTGACTGCAATCTGCTTTCCATCATCTTAAAGGTGTGGCTGATTAGGTCTCTGGGACCCCCTACCTGCTCTCCTGTTACACTTTCAACCTTGTTTTTTCAAGGAAAAGAAGTGGAGAGAAATATGGCCTTCACTCGGATACTCCTGGGGCTTTACAGAGCTCTTTCCCTCCTCACTGTCCATTTCAGAGGTGCCTAACCTGTGCTGGGGAAGCCGAGTCTTCCCTGGCTCAGAGAAGGAACAGTGTTTTCTCACTGTCAATAGTCTGCACGTCTTATTTCCTAGATCATAGAAGTGGAAAAGTGCAGCCATGGCCTTGCCTTTATTGCTTTTGTCCAGCCATGAGAATCATTCTCATCTGCTTCCCCCATCTTTTATTGCTGCTAAATCTCCAAACGGACTAATTCCTTTCTCTCTTCAAAAACATTACATTTTGATAGTAGAAAATGTGGAGGGGTGGGTGTGGTGCCTTGACAAAGGGGAGCAATCAAGGCCTGGTTTCTGCCTAGCAAAGTGCGTAGTCCAGTTGAAAGGGACGTGTAATCATTTGGGAGATCAAGTCTGCTATGCCTCTTGGCTCCCTAGACGTTTTCATCATCTGGATGCCAGATAAAATACAGATGTTCTGAGCTAGAAACACAGCACCAGACTATTTTCCCCTTGGCCTGCACGGCCTCTTAAATGCCTGAATGGCAGACAAACTCGTTTTCAGCATTTTGGTTCAGCTACAATTCACAGAAGATCTCCCAATCTGGATCGAATGGTTTTCTTCCCAGCTCTGTCCCTGAAACCGGCCTGTGTTCTCTGTGGCCTTTGGCTGCTGGGTGTGCCATGGTCTCCGAGCTGCCTTTCCTTTGTTGCATAGGCAGCGCTGTCGTGGTAGACAAGCAGCCACAGAGGTCCCTCCCCTGAAACCCAGCAACAGCTTTCCTCCCGCCCCATCCCTCACTCTCTCCAGCCCTTAGAAGACCTGTCCTGAGCAGAACCTCCTTTCAGCTGCCGTTGCTTCTGCACTGAGATGACCTTTTTTTTTTTTTAAACAAATCTTTGCCTCCAAATCAAACAGAGAGCATCTCTTGTTTTCATGAGAGTCTGCACAGAAAGTGAGCCAGATTTTCCCAGCAGGAAGAGGACTTTGTTTTGTAACCTTCTCAGATGTGGAGAGGCCACCCAAATCTGTGATCACCTTGCAAGGAAGCCTGTGGCCGAGGCGCCAAGGCGAGGAGGCCAGTTCTGAAGACTCGGTGGGAATGATAGGTGCAGGCCTTTATTGCTAGAGTCCAAGCTGCCACCTTCTCCCTCACTCCCACCCCTCTCAGGACCCCACTTTCCCACCTGCAGCTGGGAGAGGGCAGCTGTTAAAAGGCAAAGCTTGAATGATGGCCATTTCTAATAACCCATCCAGACTGATCAGCCGTTTTAGCTTAAGTTCCAGTACTTCAGAGCAGTTCTTCCTTGCTTCACTGAAATAGCCTACCCTATTGGCAGCTTTCCATTACCTTAATAAAGAGATACAGGAATGATAGAAGCTATCCCTAGATCTTCGAGAAAATGGTAGTCGGGCCACCTCTCTCTGACTATGCACTCGGAGGCCTGCTCCACCCTTGTGGAAACTCAAGTTCCTTTAGGTTTTCCCTCCTGGCCAAAAGCCAGTTACAGCCTCCTTCCCTCTGCTGCCTTGATCATCGAAGAGACCCAGTCTTGATTCTCATCCCAAGCTTTTGTGTCACTGCCCGGCCTTCATCTCTTGGTATCCCAAAAGCAAGGGTTAAAGAGGGCGGGAGGCCGAGAAGGCAGCCGGACACCTGCGATCGCTCTGGGGAGACACATACCATTCCAGAATTTGCCTTCTGTCTGGGTCTGGGTGGGAGCCACGCAGGTCCCATGCAGCAGCTGGAGTCCCGGTGGGCAGCTGCTGCACTCGTCATGGCCCAGGCCGGTGCAGGTTTCACAGGCTCGGTGGCAGGGCTCACAGCTGCCCGTCTCTGTGTCGCTGTAGGAGCCAGGCCCACATTTCCTCACACAGCTGCCACCTGGGGAAGAGTAGTTTGGCTCAGTGCTCTGTGCAGGGTCAAGTTCTAAACAGGCCGTAGGGGACCTCAGGTACATTTTTTCTTTGAGTTTGTTTTAAAAGACACCAGGATGGCATTAGCTTCTTTCAGCCAATCAATGTGTATTTTTTTGTTAATCCTTACCTAAGGGTATTTTTCCATTTTTTAGGAGAGAGTGGAAGGGAGCGGGAGACAGAGAGAGAGAAACATCGATGTGAGAGAAACACCTTGATTGGTTGCCTCCTGCATGTGCTCTGACCAGGGCCAGGGATTGAGCCTGTACTCGAGGTATGCACCCTTGATCAGAACTAAACTTGGAACCCTTCAGTCCGTAGGCCATTACTCTATCTACTGAGCCAAACCGGCTAGGGCTCAATGTGTCTTTAAAAATCTAACACTTTAAGCCCTCTTTTAATTGACAATTTAAATTGACTATTCACTCAAAGGGTTAAGAGCATAGACCAGCCGTGGGCAAACAGCTCTGTTCTTTCTTTCTTTCTTTTTTTTTTGTTTTGTTAATCCTCACCTGGTGATCTTTCCCCCATTGATAGAGAGAGTGGAAGGGAGGGGGAGAGACAGAGAGGGAAACATCAATATGAGAGAGATACAGTGATAGGTTGCCTCCAGCACACATCCCTACTGGGATGGAGCCTGTAACTGAGGTACGTGCCCTTGACCGGAATCACACCTCGATTCTTCAGTCTGTGGGCTGATGCTCTAACCACTGAACCAAAATGGCTAGGGCCCAGCCATGTCCTTTCTGGTGGAGCTCTGGAGCCCTGTTTTTACTTTGTTCAATGCCACTGTCAGGCTTACCCCGGAGAAAGAAGCCCTCTTCACACCAGTAACACCCATTCTGGTCACAGATGTCACAGTTGGCAGTGCACGCTTTGCATTCAAACTTTTCAGTGTAGGTCTTCTCAGGGCAGGATTTATAGCAGTGGTGTTCAAACCTAGGGGAGAAGATGGAGTTTCTTTCATGAGCTATGTTGATGTATTTCTCTTAACCACCATAGTTTAATCTCCTCTTGTATGTCTATGCATAGTTTTTAACAAGTGTAGATATTTGCGTTTCAAGGGAGAAAACGTCCTCTTGGTCTGTGTGTGCCTTCCACATAAGTCATTACTCATCTCTCTCTGGACCTCTGAGAATCCTTATCGGGATAGCTGAGAGGAGGCTGGGGAGAAGGACAGGGCTGCTGCTATTTATGAAGTAATGATTGTGTGTCAAGTATTAGCCTATTTAAATGTCCATGCAATCCCCAGATGGTAGCTATTACTTATATTTAATTTTCAGATCAGGGAACTAAGTCTCAAAGTTAAGTACTCAAGTCACATGGGTAGTTAAAGGTGGGACTTGGACTTAACCAAGGTCTGTTTGAACAGATAGTCTGTGTGCTTTTGCCACATGGCACTTGCAAGCTCTGAAACAGCTCAGTGTTGGGTTCAAGTAGCTTACCAAAATGTCTGTAACCAGATTATTAACATCAATATCGAAGTGCCTTAGCTTTTATGCATACATATTTCTACACATACTATCCATTATTCTCATTCTACACTGAATTATAGGCTCATTTGAAGGGGGAGTGGAATGAAATTGATCTTTGCCCTTTGATGAATTTTGTAGCATCAACAATATATCAGAGGCAGGCTTTGCATTTCTTACCAACTTCTATTGCAGAGTGTTTTATTAGCTGCATTCAAAGTCACTAAATTTTCTAAAGGGTTATAAATGTGTGTTTCTTGAAATAAATATCACATGTTTTACCTTCATGATATTGGACATATTCTTTGTAGTGTACAGTAGGCCCTTAATGTGGTTGAGAGGTTCTGCGACTTCAAGTGAAATGATGTATAATGAAATAGGCTAATTGATACTGGAGACAAGAGTTAAGTTCCAACAGCATCTCATCAACATTATAATGAAATGACATTGAAAGACACAATGTTATTCGAGGGCCTGCTGTTTTTGTTGCTCACAGAGTATTATGGAATATGCTCATTAGTGGGCAGTGGTGAGCTGGAGAGGCTGAAGAGGCTGGCTCCAACTCAAGGGGTGTCTTTTGGTGACAAAATGAAGACGGGTAGAGTTAGGCTGGAGGGACACAGAATCATAATAGAGACAAAGAGGAGTATTCCTCACCCACTTCTGCATGGTCACTATTTCTTTGGGTCCTGCCTTGGTTCTTCAAGGAACAGTTTGTGTCCTCAACCATGTGACCTCAGCAAGGAATGCTTGCATTTCTGCTGTTCATCTCTGCTTGGGGTGTCTGTGGCAGGCCATATGCTGGGCAAATGCCAACTATGAACATGCTGACAAATTTCTTTCTGCTCATTTACTGTCATCTGGTCTATCTTCTAATAATCAAGTCTGGGGCCCTCTTCTCCACCCCGCTTCCCCTGTTTAAATGGAACAATAAATCAGTAGGGCAGGAATGCAGTGATGGAGAGACAATCAATGCAGAGAATAATAGGCTACTCTGGGATAGTTGAATTAAAATCATAAGGTTAAGTAATAATAAGGTTAACTGGTCGTTTTTAATATGTTTCAGCTTGTTAGGTTTCCCTTTCCTTGCCATCCACCTCATCCCTTTTAATGTCTTCCCACCCACCACCACATTTTAAGCCCCTTGGAATCAAGCTCATTAAAGTTGAGGTGACCCAAATCTAGACACCCCCTCCCTCCCACTAGCTTGTGGTGCTTCATGAGAGAACCTATAGCCTCTCTGAGCTTCATTTTTTCCTTGTGGAGAATAACATCGATCCCAAGTTCCTGACAATGTTTTTGGAAAGATGAAAAGAAGAAATGGATGTGAGAGTTTATCACAAAACTCTCCAGTTCTTAGGATGATAGGGAGGAATTACGTAGCCTATGCATTATCTGGGCCTCCCTTCTTTTCTTTTTTTTTTTTTTTTTTAATTAAATCTTTATTGTTCAGGTTACATTTGTTCCTCTTTTTTTCCCCCCCATAACTCCCCTCCTCCCAGTTCCCACCCCACCCTCCGCCCTCCCTCCCCACCCACTGTCCTCATCCATAGGTGCACGATTTTTGTCCAGTCTCTTCCCGCATCTCCCATTCCCCTTTCCCCGCCAAGAATAGGCAGTCCATTCCCTTTCTATGTCCCTGATTCATTATAATCACCAGTTCATTCTGTACATCAGATTACTTATTCACTTGATTCTTAGATTCACTCGTTGATAGATGCATGTTTGTTGTTCACAATTTGTATCTTTACCTTTTTCTTCTTCCTCCTCTTAAAGGATACCTTTCAGCATTTCGTATAATACTGGTTTAGTGGTGATGAACTCCTTTAGCTTTTCCTTATCTGTGAAGCTCTTTATCTGACCTTCAATTCTGAATGATAGCTTTGCTGGATAAAGTATTCTTGGTTGTAGGTTCTTGGTATTCAGCACTTTGAATATTTCTTGCCATTCCCTTCTGGCCTGCAAAGTTTCTGTTGAGAAATCAGCTGACAGTCGTATGGGTATTCCCTTGTAGGTAACTGAGTTTCTTTCTCTTGCTGCTTTTAAGATTCTCTCTTTGTCTTTTGCTCTTGGCATTTTAATTATGATGTGTCTTGGTGTGGTCCTCTTTGGATTCCTTTTGTTTGGGGTTCTCTGCGCTTCTTGGACCTGTAAGTCCATTTCTTTCACCAGGTGGGGGAAGTTTTCTGCCATTATTTCTTCAAATAGGTTTTCAATATCTTGCTGTCTCTCATCTTCTGGCACCCCTATTATTCTGATGTTGGTACGCTTGAAGCTGTCCCAGAGGCTCCTTACACTATCTTCATATTTTCGGATTCTTTTTTCATTTTGCTTTTCCGGTTGGGTGTTTTTTGCTTCTTCGCATTTCAAATCTTTGACTTGATTCTTGCGCTCCTCTGGGCGGCTAGTGGGTGTCTGTATACTATTCTTTATTTCAGTCCGTGTATGCTTAATTTCTAGTTGGTTCTTTATCAGAGCATCGAGGGTCTCATTAGTTTTCGTGACTCTCTCCTCAAGTTTATTGACAGCTTCTAGCACATTTTTGCAAGCCCTCAAAATTGCGATTTTTAGCTCTATATCCTCCATTTCTGTCATGTTTTTTTGTCTCCGCATTTTTTATGCTTTCTTGGTGCACCCCCTAGTGGTCTTTGTGCGCAGTCTTGTTCTAGTTGAGCATTGATTGTTGTAGTTAATACTAGAGGGATTTTCCCTTCTTTTCTTTCTTAGTTTTTTTTTCCCTGGAAGGGGAACTAGACTGGGAAGGGGAGGTGACCTTAAGACATGCCATGTTTGATTTGTAGTAGAGAACTTTGGGATGATGGTTACCGTGTTTCATTTAACTTAGTGGTCTATGTCGTTCGTTACCCAGGGGATGATTGAGAGCTAATGTAGCACCTGGTTTCATCCTGGACCACCCAACTCTTATTAAGGACAAGGTCTCCATGCAAACATCTGCAAACAGCTTGCCCGGTGTTGGGTCTATTACTAAGATCTGTCCAGAACCAGCAAGGTCTGAATCCTGGTCACCCACGGCAAGATTCCTAGACACCAGTGTCAAGTTGGGTGCCTTCCAGGACCAAGAAAGCGAAGGTCTCCTTTCCAGGCAAGAAAACAGCTGGGCTCTTATTGCTAAATCCAAGATTGTCCATTAATAGCCTGACAGGGCAGAGCTGCTGCAGGCTGCAGGCCCTCTTTCCTGTAATCACTGATTTAGGGTTAAGTAGGTAATGCTTAAACTGCAGAAAAGTTAGTGCTATGAAAAAGAAGGCCAGACTTACATGTAATACCTCGTAACGCATGATGTGCAGGTTCCTGGGTCATCTGGAAAAAAATTATAATCATGAAAAATAGTAATTGCCAAGAGTTCATCATTTGGAAAAATGGGCTTTGGAAAAGTTGTCTTGAGACAATCTTCTGGGATAGTTTTATGAAATGTTCTGTCCAGAAATGGCATTTGAACAGATTGTACCATTTTTAACAAGTACCAAGCTGTGTGCTATGATTTATCTTTATCAAAGCTAGTAAAATAAAAGTTCTCATAAATACTAGGCCCTGACTTTCAAGGAGGAATAGGCCCAAGCTACTGGGACTTCAAATTGCAGACCAGGAACTGTCCACTTTGAGAAACTCCTGGCCTCTGATGAGGTAAAAGCATCAAGCATATCTACACAGACACACACTTGATAAAGGGCTTTGTGCTTCCAATCCCGAATGGTGGGTTTTCCATGAGTTATCCTAACTGCCTACCAATGCAAGGGGTTGTTATCTGGGAGGTTCCTTTGAAATTTGAACAATTGTGTGTTTTTTGTTTTTTTTTTCCAATTTAGTATCCACTTTGTGTTTTACACTGCACAACCCCTTAAAGAAACTGTCCTGTTCTCATTAAGTATAATGATTCACTGTGCCCCTGTTGTCTCAGCTTTCATGGGACTTCATAGAGAGAGAAAGGACTTTGAGAATCACTGACTCAGTCTATTTCTCTCTCTCTTAATCCTCCCAAAACATCCTACTCCTAGATCCAATTATTAAGGGCATTCAATGACTTCCGCTGGTCTTCAGTTTTGTGAATAACAGTTACCTCTAGCAAGTTCTGTCTATCTGTTATACCCCAGTCTTGCTCTTTTTATTCTAACAGGAGATGGAAAGCAATTGCTCCTCTTTAAAACATTCCTCTTGGTGCATGAAGATTTTATGTCACCTTTAACTTTTGAAAAACTAAACAAAACAATGTCCTTTGAACTTTGTGCATGGCTTTCCATTTTGATCTACTCTAGGCTCTACTTTGGTTTCACAAAGTCTGCCTTTTTGTAGAACCACCCGGAATCTTTAGCCAAACATTCATCTTGGGTCCTCCTAGGGATATTATACCACAACACTATTGTGTATTACACATAATACGACTAAAGCATTGCGCCAAAGGTTATAGTGGATACATTTCCAGAAGAGGCTCTGCCATTTACACGGTATCCCCAGAAACTTCTGAAAATAGCCTAGTGATTTTTGCAGAGGTGAGGGCACTGGCCTGGGAATTGGGCTACCTGTTTCTAGTTTGGAGTTGTAACCCTGGTTTAACTGTCTTGAGAACTCCCGTAAACTTCACTCTTCTTCATGAGTCCTGATTTCTGTAGCTGTAAAATGATTGGATAAGCTGGTTGCAAAATCTTCCCAAAAGTCAAAGGTTCTGAGGCTGAGTATAGCAGGAGTTGGCAAACTGTGACCAGCAGCCATTGGGGCCAAATCTGGCCATGCCCTTTTGTTTGCATACTGTGTATGAATACTTTCATTCTACAGTATCAGAGTAGAGTAGTAGTAACAGAGATAGAAAATATTTACTATCTGTCACCTTACTGTCCAAAGTTTTCTGGCCCCTGGCTGGAGCACTACTGGGTTACTCACCTTTGTTAGGTAACACTGGTGAAATGTTATTTTCTTAACAGCTGACCCCAGAGTTCCTCTAGGGAGAAAACTATCTGCATTTAGGAAAATACCTTGTGAAATAACCTGGAGTAGAAGTTTAACTGTAAGGATTGAGCAAGAGCCAAGACAGCGCAGGAGAGCCATGCCTTTTTGCAGGAGGCCATGATTGGCTCATGAAAAGGTTTTCAAATCTGGGTCAACATGGTTTTCGATAGAGTTAGAGCAGGGCAGTGAAATGAATCATAAGCCAGGCTAATTAAGGGGAATCAGGGATTTGAAGCAAGAGGGACAATGAGAAAGAAAAGCTCACTAGAATTCTTTGAATTCTTGGGGGAAGGCTTTCTGCTTCCACAGTCCATGGATTGGGGATCTGAATCCATTTTAAGGGGGTGCAAAGGTCCCAGTGAACACGAATGATTCTACTGGGTGAGTTTATTTCCTGCTATGAGTCTGTGTTTGCACCTATATTCTTTTCAGTTGCTTCTAAGTAAGTAACTATTACTCAGCTAGCATTTGGCAACTTACTTTCCCCTTTCCTGTCCCTAATACACATATTTGACTCCAATAGTTCTGCTAATTTGGCGAGGGCTGGGAAATTCTAATCCTGTTCTCTGATGTTCTGGCCATCCCTCCCATCTAGGAACTTAATGAGTTTGCTCTCTGCTCCTTTAAGCAGGTCACTGATGAAAATGTTAAATAGAACCAAGCCTCAGAACTATGCATACCAATGCCATCTTGAGTCCAATTCCAGCCCAATTGCACAGTGAATTTGGTACCTTCACAACAGTTTGCATAAATGAATAATGCATAGAACAGGAACTGTCTTATAACCGTTTATGAATGTCCATCAGTCTTTCTCATTACCAGTTATTCTAAAGAGTAAGAATTATTTTGTAAAAAAAAATTCCACCCAGAAGACCCTCAAGTCAAACAGCTAAATGGATTTAGCTTGACCACTGAGAGGCAGCTGTTAAGGGATTAAGGAAAGGTAACAATCCCAAACCTAGAAGTTGACTCTAAATTGAGGGTACATGTGAACCGTAAGGAGGGGTGGCTTAAGGAGAAAGGTGAATTTTCCTGGCTTCTAGTGTGTGTGTGTGTGTGTGTGTGTGTGTGTGTGTGTGTGTGGTGGGCGTGGTGAGGAATGGAAGAGTCTAAACAAGCTAGAATTGTTAACTATCTTGGAAGGTGTTATCCAAAGTAGAATGTTTAAATAGCTCTGGTTATTTGATCTTGTCAAACTTTTGAGCTGAGAGAGCATATTTTGAGGTGGGAGGGGGCAAGTTCAGTCAGAATTCAGAGAGAGAGCCTCACACATTTGGAAACATGCCTTCAGAAACAGTTATTGGCTTCCAGCTGCTCACTTCCTAAGGAGAATGTGTGTGGAGATGCCTTGTCAAGATAGGGCGTGGGGATACAGTTTTTCTTTCCTGAGGAAATTCAGTTTTATGGGGTGGGGTGGGGTGGGCAGGACCACAATGTCCACTGTGTCTGCAGAGGTCTTAATCCTCCGCGTCACCTTCCCACTGTTTCCGTGGCGATCGTCAGTGCTGGAACTCATCACAAACTCACTGTCCTCACAGAGACATTGACTCCTGTGGTCAGCATCACCTTCAGTGGTTAACTGACGTTCTCTGCCACTTTATTATGTTTTCAGAAATACCTATAGCCTTCACCATTGACTGTGGATGGATCAGGGCTACGTTAGGAGTTATGTACATCTTACTTAACAAAATGTATTGGGAAAGGGATATTTTAAACTAGAGATGGAACTGAACATTTAAAAATGTCCAGAGAAGAATATTTTTTTAAAGTTTACATAAACTTTGAGTTACACAATGAAAGAGACACACAAGCAAAAATGGCCCTATTTTGCTTTTTCTAAATGTATTGTTCTTACTATTGTATGTTGATTTTTCATTTGTGGGAGAGAAAAGAAACTTGATGTCTTAAGAGTAGCCCTTTATCACCTAATAACTACCTAGATATGCCAGGATTAGCTGTGGATGAGATCTATTGTTTAGGCAAAGCTGACTGTCTGCAAAACTGGGGGGAAAAGTTAATGTCAGGGTGCTCCTATATTACCTTTGGCTATTTCTTTCAAGATTCATTTTTAGGCTTGTGGGTCTTTCATTCATATCCCATGCTAGCCAAGTCTTCCTACCATGGCCCTTTGAAAACGTGTCTATCCTGTGTCCCATTACTTCAAAGCCCTCTAGGTAACTGCCTAAGCTGCTGAGTGATGGGCATGTTAAACTTGTGCTCTTGGGAGGCTCCTGGGCTCTTACCCCCTCAGTCCCTTCTTCTCAGGTGTCCTAAATCCATTAGGCTTCTTCTGCCTTGAACTCTTAGGCCACAGCTGTAAATGTTCCATAAAACAGCACCCACCTTATTGTACTAAATTTATGTACTAAAGCTATAGAGCAGGGGTTCCCAACGTGGGGCACACCCCCCCACAGGTGGGCAATTCGAGAATGAGGTATTAACAGTGAATTTTTGGCATTTCTTATGATTCTAGGGGCCTCATATACAACATATAAATATATATTGTGACATATTTATGCATTTCAGTTCTCTATTACATGTTTTGAAACTTTGTTTGCTTTTCTTTCATATCACTTCATATTATTATTATTATAACAATTATTTAGTGATTTCTTCCTCAGTACTTCAACTGTACTTTCGTTCTTTTATTTTCCTCTTTCATGGATACCATATTCTTTGGAACTTGTTTAGACCAAGTTAATGTCCTTTTAGGTTTCTTCCACATGAATAGGAGCTCACTTTTTGAATAATAAGAATTATATGTCGCAGGAGGGGTCATCAGGATTTTAGAGATGCTTAGATGGTGCATGGCCAATAAAAGGTTGGGAACCACTGATATAGAGGGTTGTGGAAAGGTGGGGAACATGGAATCTAGTCATATCATTCAAACACATTCATTCATATCTATATTTTCAACTTATCTTCCAATCTAAAAATGCTAGGTGAACAAGTTAATCAGAAACACATATTCTTTCTATAAAGAAGGGAGGGGCCGGAAGCCAAGTGCAGGGAGTCCTTATATACATGCAGATGAGTGAACCCATCAGAGAGCCATTTCTTCCGTTTATAAGGAACCAAATGTCAAAACGCTTTCCAGAAGGTTAATATATGAATTCATTAGCTCAGATGTGGCATTATGGTTAGGTGTGGCCTAAGTCACTGGTCTCCAAAGAGAAATGTGCAAGACAATTCATTGGGTTACGGAAAAACACACACATAAAAAACAGAACATGTTTCAATTATTTTTATCGTCTTAAATTTTCCACTTTAGCATACCTTTTTAATATATGTAAAATATTCTATACCAGTGCATATAAACAATTTACACACACACACACATCTATATATATATTGTAGGC